GGTTTAAACGCGATTTTGGGAGTGGATTCACTCCCTCGTGCTTACCACATTATATGTGGCATGATTTGTTTTTTTCGTGGGTGGGCGGACGCGCGTAAAACTTAGAAAGAGTGAAGTCGAGTGAAGGTTGTTAGAGGTAATAATCGATCCTACATGACATGTAAATTACGAATTAGTCGGCTGGTTAACCTAGTAAACGTTGGAGTCAAAACTCCCCGGAACTGAAATCATCAAGAAAATGGCTAATTGTCATTTTGTTGGCGAACTAACTTAGCGAACAAGCTGAATTGGCGAGTTGACTGAGTGAATAGGCTAAATTAGTGAGTTGACTAAGTGAACAAGATAAATTGTCGAGCTTACTAAGTGAACAAGCTGAATTTGGCGAGCTTATAAGTTGAGCAATTGCATTGACGAGTTACAAGATGAAATATTGAGCTTGTCAAGAAACTCACTTCACTATGGGCCGAGCTAGGCACGCTTATCACAAAGACAAGTTATGCCAAGTTTAGAGTCTACGACGATGAGATAATGAGACGCTGAGCCCAAGGTCAACAAAAACGAAGTAGTGAGCTCAATTATCCCGAGGCCCAAGACACAAGTTGGCAATGTCAAGCCCATAAGAGATATGTGACGAGGTTAAAGCCCATGAATACAGATCCTATAATAATAGCCGACTTCGATAATAAGAAATCCCTAGAAATTAAGAAATCTTCCTTATCTCTTTTGAGATTGACCTAGCCGACCTGAGACTTGTATAAATAGAATTGTATACCTCTTGAGAAGGGGATCCACAATTTTTCATAAGAACACTCTGCAAAAATCAATAAAGCTTTCTTAACGGCAAATTTATTTCTTTGTTCTTTTTTTTCGTGGTTCTAACTCAGAGATCTCAGCTTTCCTCTAAAAACCCTAACAAATTCGATTGTGTTCATTTCACCCTCCACAATTTGGTGCCGTCTAAGGGGAATCTTTGAGACTCGCTTACACAAAAGAACCACTCGACAAGCGATCTGACGAAGATGACCATTGGCGACGAGTTCATAACCCCTAGAACCGACCTACCCAGAAAAAAGGAAAGTGGCGTCGACAACACTAGCATCGACAACCCTGGCATCGACAAGACTGGAGCAAACCGAACTGCCGCGACGACAGAATTCCTCAACCATATGAAAATAATGATGGAGACGCTGCTCAAGAAGTCGACGGAGCAGGACGCATGAAACGCGGTGATGGACAATGAGCGAAGGATCTTAGCTACAACAAGCCGAGCTCACCGACGAGGAAGAAGAAAATGTCCTCTGGATGGAACGATCTCAACTTGATGAGGTGCGAAAAGCGTTAGTCCAAGCTCAGAAGGACAAGATGGCCGTAATGAGGGCCGAGATGGAGCGAGCCGCTGTTAATCTGAAGGTCGTTCAATCTCAGATACATCGAGTAACTAGCAAGGCGCCTGAAATCGCCCGAGTACTCGAAGAGGTGCAAACTACTCCCTTCACAACTCGAATCACGCGGGCAAACATCTCCGATCCAGGGAGAGTGAAGATTCTCCCTTATGAGAGGAATACCGACCCAAAAGAGCATCTCTTTGCATTCGGAATCGCAATAGACGAGCTAACTTCAAAGAGAGTGAGAAGAGCGTCGGCCAATACCTTTTATTCGTTGAAAGCCTCAAGGGACCAACTAACACTACGAAATATTTATGGAGCGACGAATG